CTAAGCCACCCACACCAGACGAAAAGGGATTTTCTCCTTGAGTAGAATTGAATCGCTGCATCTAAGGAATGGCTTAGAAATTCAAAATCTTCTAACTTCACTTTCGACAACTTCAAATAAGTTGGAACAGCTAGAACCGTATCTCCGGGTTTAACATAACACTATAGGATGGTTTGCCAACCATTACAAAAGTTAAAAATAAGTTTTCCAGCATGTAACTAATGTAAAATTTGGTCTATGAATATGATCACACTTCTGTGTGTGGCGGTGGCTACGATGTTTACTATCCCCAAACGTAACTTCCTGTCCAAGATGATGAGCACATCCATTCCAAATTCGTTGCATGTTACAATGTATTATAAAAAATAATTAATCCGAAACTTATTAACATGCTTAAATATTTAAGATTTTATCAGCATAAATTATACTTTATACCAATTATATATCTGTCTCTTATACCTAGGCCTAACCCTCCTCCTAACTAGGCCTAGGCTACCTAGGCCTAGCTATAGTAGGCTATACTAACCTTGTCCTTACATTAACAACTGACTGGAGTTGTGGTAGGGTTAGGCTAGGGTGGAGTACTAAAGTACATTATCGCCAGGCATTGTTTGAGAGAAAGTGTTAGAACATAACCTTTATTTTAGTTTATACTGTACTTATAGTGGTAGGCTAGTAGGGTATCCAAAAAAGAGTAGGAAATGTATGGAAAGGAAGGAGCAGGCTTACTGCTACTGTATGACCCCTAGGCTATAGGCTAGTTTCATATATAACCTACCCAGAGGAGTTATGAAGTTACTTTCCAATGCACTGGGCGACACGCTTAACGGTAGTGTAAACTTGCACAGATGGGAAAAAAAATCTAGACCGCTTTAAATCTATCCACGCCCTTTGTGGCAAGCCAGAACCATTCAGATTGTTTTGTGATAACCTTTCAAAATTGACAATAATTTCCTGCCTCCTTTTCAATATTTCATGCACAAGATTAACTCACATGGACCAGTCCTCCTTTTCTAAAAATTTAGTAATGAGCAATTCTTCTCTTCAGTCTTTCATTTAATTTGGCCATCCTGAATTGTACAATGCTCACGAAACCTTGTTTTTTTCTGATTGTCTTGTTTTCTGTGTGTTTTTACTCCCTTGTCATCTAATTTTAAGGATGTAAACTAGAGAGATTTTTATTCACTTATTTTCCTTTTATTCAACTCATTGTATTTTATATGTTTGTCTCTTGTCATTGAAAGTGATATTTTTTTGTGTATATATTTTTATATGAATGAATTTTATTGAATAAAAGTGATTTGGAATAATAAATTCGGTGCATGGCCTAGGTAGGGCCTAGGCACATTCCCCCTTTCTAGGGGCCTACATTATATAATATTAATATTTATAGAACTAGAGGACTAGGCTAGGCCTATCCCTATGTAGATACAATCTAATAATGATTTCTTCTTTTTCCGTTATATTTTAAAGTGTTCTAAATAGTAAATATGTCGGAAGAAGATGAGTCAACAAAACAGCTACCAACATCTGAAGCAAATGATGAAGTACAGCAAGAAGAAGAGAAAGAACAAGAAAATGTAGAGGACAATGAAGTGGAAGAAGAAATTGAGGATGGAGGGAGTGATCAAGTAAACACAACGTGTGATGATTTAATAGCAGAGGGGAACACTATTGAAACTAATACAAATGACACACCACTAAGTGACAAACAAGCGAGTTTAGAAAATGATGAAATAAGTTATGAAGAGCAAGATGTAGACAATGAATCAACTAAGGAACTAGATAAGAATTGCCTAATCAATGAAGAAACAGGAGAGTTGAGACCAGTACAAAATTTGGGAAAGAAATCTGGAAGGAAGGGTAAAGGGAAGAAACATCGTGTAACTATGACAGTAACCATTGCTGCTGCTATTCCTACCAGTAAGATGAAGATTTATTAATAGACAATTCAAACAAACAAAAAAAAATCAACAATGTGCTGAAGCAATCCAGAGTCCTCTCAAAACTAAATAAGTTGTATCAAATCTCTCAGGTTATCTGTTCCCAGAATGCTGCATGTTTGTACTGGCGAATAGTCATTTTTTTCTTTTGCCACTCTGAAATTATGGAACTTAGATCAACTTATGATACTAATGCATTCAAGACCCTTATTAAAACCTAACTCCAGTGACAAATAAATTTTTTCTAACAGGCGCTATACAAATTTTCCAATTTATTTATTTTTATTAAAGCCCCATGAGACCTCTGCTTTGTGCCTGAATACCAACAATACGCAGGCCATGTATTATGGATGAAACCGCGGCATACCCTCAATGATATAATGGAATTGCCCATCATATTCAGGCAAATTATTTTCTTGAGTGCTGCAGCATACCCTCAAGAAAATATGGAATTGCCCATCATATTCAAACACAGCATACCTTCCGCCTGTGCCTGAATACGAGGCAAGGTTTCATTATTTTCTTTTATGCTTGAGGGTGAGAAATTGAATTTCTGTGACCGTGACATTGTCTTTTGACTTTTTCTTCTGAAAAATTGAATGGTCGATTTCTTCGATTATCAAGTAGGCCTACCATTTCACTAAATTTTATGATGATTCATTCATCAGTTTTTGCATAATCTTGCTAACAGACAGAAAGAGGTTGATGAGATACATATCCTCCTTGGGTGGCGGTAATAATTTGGGCAAGAATTAAACCATATGATATTCATGTAGATAAATGTTTGTTGGGGGCAAAAAAAAAAAAATTAAATAAACAGGAATTGAACCCATAACCCTGTAATTTAAAGTAATTTAACCACTAAGCCACAGTTTCATTCAATTGAAAGTGTATCAACTTCAACATGTATCAACTTCAACTACATAGTGCAGAGTTCATTATCAAGTTCCTAACAACATTTAATATCAAAAAGTATTAATAATGTTTAAATATCTCCCCATATGCAGATAATGATGAAAAAACATTGTCACATGTTGTTATTCACCAGGTAAATACAAGCTGTAGGTCATTTTATAAGAATTAAGGGTGAATAACCTGCACATAAAAAATATCACGAAAAAGTCCCGCAATGCAGCTATTATGTGCGTAATAAAAATTTCTTGGCAAATTTGTGCACTCAAAATTTCAAATTTAGACACGTCTCAAATGAATGATGCTATAATGATTAAAACATTTTAGTATGAAATAATATAATGTAGTTATACAAATAAAGTATCCAATTGAATTGTATCATTCATGTTCAGTAATGATGTTATCAAATATTGTAACACTTGGTATTTGTATGCTATTTTGTAACTTTTTTCTTCTGTTAAAAAAACACAAAAGAGAGACGGCAGTGACAAAACCGGAGTGGCCATGCCCCGTTTCTAAATCCACCCCTGTGAATAGAGACTTTCATGAAAAAGTATAGTATAAAATTTAGTAAGAGCATTAACACATGTGAATTTACTTCTCCCCTAAGTTTTTGGGGGAAAAAAAAATGATATCCAAATTTGAGTCTGAAATGGCCATTTCCAGCCACGTAGAGGTGCCATAGCCACCAATCATGTGGTGCTGAGATGGTCTGCACCCTCTATCTCTGTAATGAGTTCACTCCCTGAGACCCTTCCATTTCAAACTCCTAGGTCGGCCAAAAGAATAATTTTATAGCCCTCAAAAAACTACAGTACAGTATGTATGTTTTGTTTTTTTTTGCAGGTGAAGAGGATGGTCCAAAGATGGAAGATATGGTGAGGAAGAAGAAACGCCTGATGGAGGCGCCAAAAGCCCAGAACTATTACCACTGCTCTTACTACCTACTGCCAGATGACACGGAACCTATCAAGACAGATGTTGTCACCTTTGGAATGGCGGCAAAGATTTACACTGATCATGATTCAAAGGTTATCAAGACATGGCAGGAAGGCCAACACACGTGGGTGGCATGGAGTCACAGGTAGGAAATATGCATGGTTTTTTCCATATATGGGCATGATAAAATCATCACACCCATAATATGGACTTGATGCCTTTAAAATCACACTCATTTGCAAATCACAGATTTTTTTTGTTACATAAAACTTAATATGGCCGGAGCAGAAATCGCTATTTGGAAGAAGCACCTTGTCATAATTTCATTTTTCAAATCAAACAATAAGAAAGAATTCTATTCTTTCCAATAAATACAATACACATACAAATGTGAAAACAGGAACACAGAAGCAGAGTGCTTTATAGGCAAGGCCCTTACGTAAGATAAAATGTAGTTTTTGTAACAGAAAAGTCACAGTTAATTCATTGTTTTTGTACCTTTTTTTTTGTTATTAAAACAGTAAACAATACTTTGTGCATGGAGTCAAATACAATATTTCAATATACATTATAACCTCAAGTGTATATAAAGCAGGTGTTTGACGGTCATTGTGTGACGCGATTCTATGGAGAACGCAACGCCGTGACGTGCGTGCAACAGATTGTTTGTAATGACGATCCATTCAGACTGCTACTGACAATCAACAGACGGCGTCACGTCTAACGCTCACAGGGAGAAGAGTTGGATTTGTCGGCAGACAGTCGTACGACCGTCACGCGAAGCAGTTAGTGCCTGGGTTTACTTTCAGTACTTTGAAACCATTTATTTAATTTTACATTCTCTTTCAGTCAAAAATTAAATATTACCAAAGATCTGCTCTTAAAACTGTTTGATCACACTCTGCAACTGCGCATTTGGGAATCACGAGAAAAAGTATCCGCAAGGGCTCGATTTGACAGACCCAAGGTGTTCCGCTTGCCTCAAGCTAAGCCCGGCGAGGACTACGAGGATGTTGGTGGTGTACGTTCGTTGGTAATGAAGCAGTCACAGAGTTATATTGCTTTGCAGCCTAAGAAATCATTCAGTGATAGGCCCATGCCGCAGAATCTTCCCCCAGAGCTCAAGGAAATAAGGAACTATAATAAGAAAGGTAGCCATTACGTTAAAAGTTTTTTATTTATTTTTACACATACATGTTTGCTGAATATGATTCATCAGATTTTTTTATGTATCAAATTTTTTTATTATCTGAATAATATTATACTATATTGCATTTGTACCAATATTGTCATCGTTAATTGTTGGGTCCATGATGATTGTCAATCACTCAAGGAAAAAAAAGAATGAAAGAGAAATTATTGATCACCCAAAATGCCTCAGAGGTTATTTTTGGGTGTCTAGAAAACAAAAATATCCCAGGCCCCCTAGGGTAGTCTCTTGATCACCCCCTTCCCCCTTTTTCAGACATCTCTGGATCCACACCCCTGAGGTGGTAAATAAAGTAATAATGTTATTTTGGTTTGCCATCTATTTCAATGCTTTATGATTGCCTGTTTTTAGATAATAAAGGTAGACAAATAGTTGAAAAGCCAAGTAAGGATTCCATTCAAGTCAGTGAACCAATCAAAATAGTTCGCAACAGAACACCTGAAATCAAGTCAATAGTACAGATCCAGAAACAGAACAGACGGTCTTCACCTGACCCAGTTTCAAAACATGTGTCGCCAGAATCTATGAAGTGAGTGGAGTTTTGCATTTCATATCACACAGCAGTGAATGGACCTAAACATGTAATAAGATAAGTGTGGAAGTGTGATGGCATTGCATGAACCCATGATTTTATGATTCATGCTCAGCACCTTACCACTAAACTGCAGTCATTTTCTTTTTCTTATCTTTTCTTTCACTATTTTCAAGGTCATATAAAAAATTAGGTCAACTTGCAGGAACTGTCCCACCTGAGGAGTTAAAACAAATTAAAAAGGAATTAAAGCAACAGAAGGAAGATGAAGAGAAGAGAAAAGAAGAGGAGATAAAAAGTGCTACAAAAACAGGTAGTGGGAGTGCAAGGGGAAAAGTAGGGGAGGAGAATGGACGCTCAACAACCACACCCAGTGGTAAGGTTTTTTTTTTGACTTATTTTTAATCATTAACATTTAAAATCTTCAAACTCCACCTGTGTTGTTTTTAATTAAAACATTTTACAATCATCAACATGTTGTGGCACCAGTTCACCAGGTAGCTCAGACAGGAAGTGATCTTTAGGGGAGAAGGTCACCATACAAACTAGTCCCCTAGATCCAATCAGGGTTCATAGGTTCCCATTGGTATCATAGGGAATATCCCTAAGGAATGCTTGTTATGTGCCTGGTTTTCCGCCACACCGTGGAATTATGAAGACACAAACTCAGGAGCCTCTAATGCAATAGTTAAAACTGATGAAAGTTAACATGGAGAAAAAATAAAGAAATAAAAATAGAATTAAAGATAAAAATAATTATTAATTTCATTATTAACATCATTTTAATTTTCATCAAAGTGATCATCCTCAATATCTCCATTATGATCATTAGGTAGTTTTCGCCGCACGATGTTAACCTTAACTTTAACATTAGTACTAAACATGCAATGCGATAGCTCTGCCCCTTTTGTAAACAAATCGAAATATGCATGCACAAACCCATACCTAACGTACGTCGAGCACGTAAAATCTTGAAATTAACGTACTCTGCAACACAAGATGAATAAATTATAACATCATCCATTAATGTTAAGGTTAACGTCGTGCTGCGAAAACTGCCTAGTATCATCTTTATAAACCTTAATTGGTCATCATCATTATCATTTTTATCATCATCATAATCATTTCTATCATTATCGTCATCATCACCATGATTATGCTGATGAGTGCTAATGTATTGTGATGTCATCATTTCCAGGCAGAATAGCTCTGAAGGATTCTCCACAACAACGAGAAGCACGACGAAAGTCGCGAAAAGTAGAGCAAGCAGCTGTGGCTCTACAGGCGTACATTAAACAACATTACACATCTAATTTGGGAAAGAAATCTGGAAGGAAGGGTAAAGGGAAGAAACATCGTGTAACTATGACAGTAACCATTGCTGCTGCTATTCCTACCAGTAAGATGAAGATTTATTAATAGACAATTCAAACAAACAATCCAACTTTATATACACAAAAAATCAACAATGTGCTGGAGCTGAAGCAATCCAGAGTCCTCTCAAAACTAAATAAGTTGTATCAAATCTCTCAGGTTATCTGTTCCCAGAATGCTGCATGTTTGTACTGGCGAATAGTCATTTCATACCAATAGACCTTTCTAGAGTGTCAATCCCTGACCTCATGTTTGGACTCCCAACCATGAGGTCAGGGGTTCGAAAATTTGCTTGTGTCCTTGGGCAAGGCACTTTATCTACGTTTGTCTTTCTCTACCCAGGAGTATAAATGGGTACCTGGTGGGATGTTGTGGCTTTGAATGTACTAGTTTCGCGCTAAAGAAGTAGTGAACGACAAGGTGTACTCCCCGAGAAGGAGAGAAGGTTGCACTTTGTGCCGGTTTGCCATTGTATGTTATCCAGTGACCAGGGGTAATAAAACTCGCGCCTTTGATAATTCAATATGAAATTGGCGCCATATAAATATTCGGGTATAATTATTATTATTTATAATCACAGAGAGACTTCAATCACCCAAAAAATCAAACACCAATTTAGGACGTTAGCTGCAATTTTCTCATGCAACCTAACTTTAGGATCATTATCTCAAATTTGCATTCACATTCTATCCTTCCACTTGTGGCATTTGACAGATTTTAATACACCTACACTATCGTAGTCTTGCCATTTTTGTGCTGGCATAGATAGATATGGCAGTGCAAGACATGGGTATGTAATTTAACTAATAGATGTCTCGCACTTAATACGTTTCGGTTGTCCCTCGTACACTGAACTTTGATAATGTTGTATCACAGCTCAGAATGTCGGTATATGAAGAAAAATTTACCTTGTTTTTTAAACTTACATTTTTTACCATCCAACATTTATCAAACAGCAAGACAAATTGAGTCTATCCTGCCTAAAGTGTAACAGGTGGAGTCTATACTATGACAAGGAAACAATGTTTAGAATTAAATCTAGGTCATGCACACTTGTCATATCAAATTTGAAAATTTACTTAATTTTGAGTCCGTAGATGTACCATGGAGGTATAAACATTGATGTACTCTATTATGAATGAATCCACATGGTATACGTCACTGCAGTTGTTATTTTATTTAATTGGTTAATATTATTGAAAGTAGATGGGGAAGATCTAAAAACTGATTTTTGTTGAGAATGACATTTTTCAACAAACAACAGTTCTTTTCAGAACTATTGCAAGTGTACCAACAGCAATTTGATATTTTACATACAAAATGTTGTATACCATACAATAAAAATTATATACTGTATACAAAAAAATTACCATAAATCAATATAACAGAAATATAATATTATTATTACCTTAAAACCAGGAAATCTCAAGTACACCTTTTTTTCTAAATAAATCAATTTAACTTAATCTTGAAAATGATCAAATATATCGAAACGTTTACGCCCGTATTCTTAAAATAAACTTTAGTCAAACTTCGAACTAGAACTTCATTTGTTGCTAGTTTCAACTTCAACCTCAATTTTTATTCAAAACAACGTAGTCGAAGTTTTAACTACGACTAAATCAGGTCCTAGTTTTAGTTCAACTGAAGACGACTGGCAAGCAACAACTATCAAACTAACCAATGAAAAGAGCTAATTTTAATAGCAGACGAAATTTTAGAGATCCGGTAATGCGGATGAATGTTAAGCTGCCGTCTGTGGTTCAAAAACGTATTTCCTCACAATTCATAATAGATCATCATTCGCTTAATTAATTTTCTATAATAATAACTATGTTAGTTGTTAACATATTACGATAGGGAATTTAAACAGTTACTGAAACTTTGCTTTCTTTTGAGAACTCTCGTCGGCAACTGCGCAGTTGCCAACGAGATGCTGATGCTGGTCTGGCTCTTGTTTGCACCGACACACAGCGAATGTCCTCAAATAATTATGATACTCTATTAGAGCAATTTGAGCAATTTCCAGAAACTAAAAATGCAACGTACATTTCATGCCTGCTAAGGAAAAATAACTCTTTTTACATGATTTTGGTTGCACACATGCATCCTCAAGGTCAAGGTGAGTTCCCCCCCCCCCTTACCCCCGTAGCTTAAAACCTGTTAAGACTGTCAAATTATATTTGACAAAAACATTTGACATGCTTTAACATATGGTCATGATGACATCACACCATAACTATTGGTACATCATGACTATAATATGGGCATGTAGACCACAAGCCTCTTATTTTTTTATTATTTTTCTCATTCTGGACAGCGCCACCAACGAGAAAGTTAATTTACAGATGGAATAAGCCTAATCTGAAAAAAAAAGAAATCGAGTATGGGACGCCAATTAAATTAGGTATGGCGTGCAATAAAGAGTGAGTAACCCAAAATTAGGGCCCGGAACCCAGGCTAGGGCGTATGATGTAATAGTGGGGATAGATTTTTGTTAATTTCTGAGAAAATGTAGGTAAAACTTAAATTCATTGGTTATTCCAACCCTATTGTGTAGGAATAAATTTAGCCTATCAATATGTAAAAGTCCCTATATTTTTTATGATTTTAACTTTTACTTTAAAATAACACACACACACACATCCCATGAAAAATACCAAAAAAAAAATTCATTTCGAAATTACTTGCTCACATTTAAGTAACATTATCATCTTGAACATAGAAATTAGTGTATATTAAAAGATGTTTACCCATAATTTTAGAGCTAAAAATAATATAAGCACTTCCAGTCACTGAAAATGTTTTATTATTTTTATCATTATCCAGTATAAAAATCCGGGTACACATTTTTAAAATTCAGTAATTTCTATGATCAAGTTATAAATTGTATGTTACAGATAAGTGATTTTCAAAATTATTTTTTATGATTTTTTTGTCATTTTTATCTATCAACATTAAAAAAATGTTGAATAGATAACTTTCAAACAATCTTAGGGGACAGGAAAGTTTGAAACATGTGAAACATACTTTTATTAAGAATCAGTGGTGCCGTCGGGGAAATCCTAGCGCCGACATTGCTAAGAATGTCATTATTAATAAAACATTGTATAATATGAAGATAATGTTCATGTTACCACAGACCCTATAGGGTCTGTGGTTGCATATAGGGTCTGTGATGTTACACTTGTTTTTGGTCAGCTGAAGAGGTTATTTCACTATGTGTGTGTATAAAAAAAGTGATACATGTGAAGCGATAGACTCCGAATCAGGCCTACATAAATTGAAACGTATAAACAAAGGACGAACCTCGAACCTTGGACCCTTTGAATACATGGCAAGCGTCATAAACACTATGCGTCATAGCTATGCGAAGGTCTCGGGTTTTTGCCACTGTGAGGCCGAGTCTTTTTTTCTTTCTTTGTCAGATTCCTCTTCTGTTACGTTTCAGTTTTTGTATTATTCATAGCATCTGGGGTTTTTTTTCATGCAGTTAAAACCACTTTATACATGTATATATACTTACATGCAATGCAAAAAAATTGAAACTGAAAATGCAACATTAAAAAAAGTTCATACATCAACCGGAAATTAAGTAATATCAAAAAGAAGGAAATATTCATTTTATGTCACACAGAACTTGTATAGAAGTTAGAACAGTCCAGTAGAAAAGCCCAATATAGTAACATCAAGGTAATTTAACAAAAGGACGCACATCTCGGGACATCAAAGGTTATAACTCTGGCATCGACATTCTAGGCGCACGTGTGTCCCTACACGCTGAACGTCACAAAAACCATAGCAACCAGACCATAAACCGTCAGCGTACGTGACGATTTACCCACGCGCGT